CGACCATCTAAATTGGAGAATAATTTTTTACATATATATTGAACCATAAAACTCATGTAAACATTGGCAAATGTGGCCAACTCACACACACATTTCTCTCATTTTATAAGTATTGCACTAATAAACGAGCACCAAGCTGCATGAAAGGCTCAACTAAGAAATACTTGTCTGCGAGCTCTTTAGTTGGCTTCATAAAGCTTACCCTCGCTCATAATATTTCATCAGGCTTGTGAGAAAGTTATGGAGATTTTTTAATTATGAATGTTTTGTTGTACCACAGAAGTAGTAAGCGACCCGAAGAGAAACACATGAAGAATTGCCTTTATGATTTTGTAACAAATTTTTCACTCTAGTGTCTCTCATTCTTTCTGTTCTCTTTCTCTTGCACTCTCAAACGAGAATCTCCCTCTCTTTTTATAAATAATTTATATTTCATAATGCACTCAAGTGTATCTATATAATAGATTTTCGTGGTGAACACATCCATATAGTTTGGGTAGAGTTGAATTAGATGCCAAGTAGCCCCCGAGCGATTCTCATGCACAGAGAGATCATCGTCGGCCGAAGATGAAAATATGGTGGAAACCATAACATATAAGAATTATTACCGTAAGTGTGTAATGCATGTTTGGTTTTGTATTTATAAAATAGTCAATTGAATGTACTATAATTTAATATGAAACATGCATTTGCTTTATACAATGGATTTTAATAATATTAAATACGAAAAACAAAAACACAAGAAGTTCGAAGACTGGTTCATTGTAATAAAAAAAAAACTAGATTTACATCAACTTCATGCGGTCATCGGTCGTTTATTTGGCGTAGGTTGTTGTTCGAATCATTTAGCTCTGTGGCCAGTGTAATGTGTGCACAATGCGCTCAGCAGATAGTGTATCATTCATAAATTTGAAAATGTTGAACTAGAATTCAAAACGACATTCCCTCGTCGACGAATCGCCCGAATGGGAGAGGAGAGAGAAGAAAAAAAAAACGACGATCTGGACATTTTAATTTCATTCTATCGCAGTAGAATGACAAACATGCAAGACCACCGATCGTTAAAAGACTTGTACAAATGACCAATGTTGCAGTGCCAGGCGAGAGCTGGCATACGGAATGAGGAAAAACAATTTTTAGTATGTGCATTGATGAGCAAATTGCAAACAGCAAATACAATATGGTGAATATGGCACGTGAAGCACTAACAGACACGTATCACACATTGCATTACATATGTAGATTGTTTTTGAGCATTTTTAAAGTGTACACTCTCCGGTGTGTTAACCGATAAGCAAGGCGTCGAAATTTATTTCTTTAAGTGCGAGACGAACGGGCGTAAAAGACGAAAAGACGGCAGAAAATATGCAATGAAATGCAGCATTGCCAATATACTGTGTACACTGTGTGTACAAGCGTCAACTGAAAGCCGATATAAATTCTCTTATCGAAATGCTCATGTCTTGTTAAATGCAATTTTATAATGTTGATTTTTATTGAAATTATGGATTAAGGGGCGCTGAATGAAAAATAAAATCCACACAAACACACATGGCTCCTCACAACTTATTGATCCGAAATTTCCGTTGGCTGAAAGAAAAGATCTTCATTGACACTTTGTTTAACGCGCACATCGCGTTCTTTTTTTATTCTTCTTCTTCTTCTTCTTGTCTTTCACAAATTTTGTGCACTCATCGTAACCATCGCAAAATGTTACTAGATTTGAATTGATGTCTGACGATTTTGTTCACTATATGTGTTTGGAAGTAACGTGTTTACTTCATGCAAGATAACTAATGCGCAAAGAGATTTGTGCAAAGTAAAGAAACAACAACGAACACAAATTGAGAATGAAACCAATGCAAAAGAAGATGACGAGATCAACAAGATTCACGAAAAAAAAAATGAAAAAAAAATCGATGGAGAAAACTACGACGAACGAACAGCATGTGAAAGAGAGGGAAAATGCCACACCTTGGTTTTTTGCATTGAAATTATATTGTTGATGCGAATTAGCCGAAGTAAACCCGCTTGACACGATATAAACTTTGATGAAACAATGTTGATCATGTAGCCACGCGTAGAATATTGTGTTTTCTCTCTCTCAATCTCTCTTCGCATTGTGTATGTGTGCTGAAAACTATACAGTCATGCAAATTGATATGAAAGTGGGTCCCAAAAGAAAAGACGTATTCCAGTCACCTAATCATCAAATTATCAATTGTTAACAAGATTATTCAAAAACTTCACTCGCAATGGAAAAATATTCAACGTTAAATTGATTGTTCCAACGCTAATTGGGTTGACGCAACTCCACCTTTGAATCCGAATATTCAGTTTCAATCACTTTTTCTTTGTTTTCGATTGTTGCACGCGACATCACAACAATTCGAAACCGAAAAATTTCATTTTCATTGGCCGCAATATGTTTTACTAATCACAATCGTTCAGTTTTATTTACATTTCGAAATCGGTTCTAAACGTAAAGATGACAGATGAACAAATCGTCCAGATGAAAGGGATCGAAGTTTCACATTTCACATGTGTTCAACATCGGTCCAGCCGAATCACGCAAACCTTTTGTTGCATTTAACTCGAATCAGGTAACTAACCGATTATTGTACGGCATATGCTTTCGGCCGAATTCCATAACATTTTATCATACTTTTTTCGTAGATAAAATATGAAGTGAATATTGGTTTGGAATACCATTCTTTTTGGAATGATTTTGAGCAGCAGTTAGTGGTACATAAAACACAATTTAAGCGAGTAATTGTTCAAAATGCAACGGCTTTGCATCCGATTTTTTGTCCGTTTGGTCATTTCATTTTATTTCGTCTGCAAAAAGTGCACCACGATTTATTTTCTCACGTTTTTTTTAATGCTGTGCTCGCTATTTGTGTTTGCGTTGTATGACAATGGAAATTTACCGTGAAATATGTATACGATTATGTCGATTGCTTGATTATCTCTTGCACTTTCTTCATATTTCTCGCACACACATTCGCAAAATTGCCAATTTGGTAAGAATAATAATTTACAGCACAAAACGCGGTTCAATTTTACTAGTTAGATTTATTTATACGCGAAAAAATGCGTCTGGCAAACGAAGAACATTCGCAAATGGTGAACGCAGAAAAATCTGCAAGCAGAAAATTAGCCATGACATATCACTTAAATTGGATGCTTTTATGAAACCGATCGCTTTTTTTCAAATCTCCCTCTCTCTCTCTCTCTCTCTCTTTTTCTAAATCCCATTCATGTGAACAAGAAATCGGCATTCTCGCGACTACGGCAGAAAGAGTTCCTCTTTATTTCTTTTCAGCTCTTCTCCATATTTCAATCTTCGATGTGCGCGCTCAAACAATTTTGCATTGAAGCGCATGCGAATGCACACATTCACACACACACATGATCACAATATGTGGAACTTCCACAGAAATGATTATTGTTGACGCAAAAAAGCTGTTCCCCCCGTATAATTTCGAAATTAATTTTTGCATATATGCCAGAGTGTTCGTGAAATGAGTCGAATTTGATTTAATAACTTTCTTTTAGTGTGATCTGTGTGATCTTGTGTGGGTGGGTGGGTTTATGATAAATTGTTTCAAAAATCATATGTTTGGCGAAAAGAACAATAATAGCCAAACGACCGAAAATTTATGTGATTACAATACTCAAACACAAAAATGGAGTGCAGCAAAAAAAATTTTCACCCGAGTAATATTTTGAGCCGTTTTTAACGCTAAGAAGTTTAATTGTTAAGTACTTAAAACATATATGACCGCCAAAACGAAGATAAAATTCTCGCGCAGTGTTGTCGCATTAACGCATATTGATGGGTCGTCAACGATTATTTTCTTTTTCTCTCTCTCAGTTCAGTGTTCACACAGTCCAAAAAGGGAGAAAGAGAAAGAAAGAGAGAGAAATTGATACGTTATAAAAATTTAATGCAGTTTACATTTTAATTGCAAATGACATTATGTCACATTTTGAAGCTGTTGCAAGACGGTGTCATGTTTCAATATCAAGTTTAGAAAGTACCGTCGAAAATAGCCTATCTCGACACGCTTGCATTCGCAAATGTTCTTGATAATGCATTTTGAAGCGTGATGCATTAAACATTTATTAACTGTAACAGCAACACATTCGATGTGAAATCTGGCTTTATGTTGCGCCTTCTCTCTTTTTACTGTTTTTTTTTTACCAATACAAATCGTAAGTGAAGAAAAATTGTTTGGACTAACACATGCCGATTGCGCTGTCACAGCAACAGCAATAACAAAAAATCGACGACGAATGAACAAACGAACGAACGAAATCAAGGAACTTATTCAAATGCATATGCAAAAAGAAACTGACAACGGGAGAGCGAGAGAGAGAGCGGAAAAGAGAAGAAAAATCGCATTTCGAGCATCTCCTACGTAGAGAGACTGGATCGATGGTTTTAAACTTGCTTTTCGTGTATTCGTGCTTCAAGAGATTACTCTTTTATTTCTCTTCCGTCTCTCAGTTTCTTAACGTCTTCGTTTTTGACACGAATGACTACAAGAGAATTATAAAATGTATTCGTTACCTGAAAATGTTTTCAGGTTGTTTCAACCGAGTTCACAAAATGTGAAAAAGATATGTTTTTCGTTTGTATTCTTTTCTGTGTTTGGTTTGTTTCTGTTTCGTGAATTTCTGTCTCCTTTCGTTGTTCTCTTTCTCTGTCTCGCTCTCTCTCCATCTTCATTCCATTATTTCGAACATCGTTCAGTGTGTGAGCGTATTCGGTTTTGGTAGGTGAGCGCAAAGCCTCAATCTCAAGAAGGTGATCGTTGCTGTGTCGACACAACTACATGCGCACATTCGGTTTAAGCTCCGTTTGTTTGTACGATCTATTGTTGTGGCAGCGATCGTATACGTACACAGAATCATGTGTGTATGTAGAGGGCAGCAGGTCCGCGATAGTATTCAACATACTGCCCGTTTAGTCGCTTTGTGGACTTTGTTAATAATGCGTCTCTGACGCACGTATCACATGCATTTTTATCTTCAGTTACAGTTTTCGTTGCGAAACATTCATTTTTATTCATTCTAATTCGCTGTTCCATATTGAAAAAATAAATTGTGATTTTTTAAGTTGTGTTTTTAAAATTTGTGGCCGTTTTTTTGTGTGATAAATAAACTTCAACTTCATCATCGTATAAAATAATAAAAAGACTGATCATTCAAAATCTCATTGGAACGCAAAATCAATTTGCAACTCAACGCTCGGTGTGTCGAAAAAAGAAAATTTGTGAAACTCCATTTAGTTCTTTGTATGATTCAGTACAAGAAATGAGTTTTTAAAACGCAATCGGTCATCAGAATAAAAAAAAAGAAATTATTAAAGAGAAAATATTTTTTTATGACTTATGCCCGCAACTTATTGAAGTTTTCATGATGGAATCGACAACCACTCGGATATCATTGCAAACAACGGCTACGACAACGGCACCAAAAAGTGTAAAGGTAACATCGGTGAGCCCGTCTCGTGCACTATCGACACCACCCTCTGGCGAATTGGCCGCAGCTGCATATGTTTTATCATTACAAGGAACAATGGTGTCTAGCCTTCAACAAGCTGCGCTCAATCTTCAAGCGTTAGAATATTACTTGGCATTGCAGCGCATCAGTAAAGCAGATGTTCTACAGCTTACAAAAGTTGCTAATCGAAATCAAAACGATACAGCAGCCGATAATGATTCGATAATTATTGAACAATCATATACAAACCCATTACTTGATGACGCCCATGGAATTGATATTGTTCATCGGTCCAATGATCTGCCACTTCTCGATGCTGACGATGATCTTGCATTTGATCCGACTTTAGATTCGCCCAATGAACATTCGATCAATTTGTTAAACAATGGCCTATCGAATTTACTGTTTAACGGACACTTTCAACAATTTGGAAATGAATTGCTACAACAAGCGGTCATTGAGAATGAACAAAGTTTACAAATTAGTGCAAAAAAATCGCAATCGATTTCGCAAAATACGACATTGAATTCACCAACCGAAACGATCACCACTTTGACCGGAGCGATGCCACGTCCGAAGAAGCAATTTATATGCAAATTTTGCAGTCGTCATTTCACAAAGTCATACAATTTACTCATACACGAACGAACACACACCGATGAACGACCCTATTCGTGTGATATTTGCAAAAAGGCCTTCCGACGACAGGATCATCTCAGAGATCACAAGTAATTATTGATATTCATATATTGCATCATACAAACACACGCATACACATGCGTTGATGTGCTAATTAGTGCTTAGGGTTTCTTTTAGATTTATCGATCAAAGTCAGCGGATTTTCAATAAACATCATTCTTTATGATTCAATTACACGGCGTTTGCGCCATTATTCCATTATTTCATATTATGATTATTCGTTTCTTCTTCGATTTTTTTTTCTGTTCTTCAATGCCATTGTTTTCTTTTATATTCTAAATGTGACGCAAGCAAACACAACGCCATTTGAGCTTTCTTATTTTCAATAGTATAATAAATTCAAACGGTGCGCTCTCTCAATGGGTTATCAGTTCTGTGTTCTTCTTCGGTTTTTTTTTATATATTTTATTTTTATGAAATATCATCACAATTCCAATGAAAATGGTTCGCGTCTTTTTGTTGTTGTTCCGTGTGTTCACACCTTTGCTTTCAGCTGTTTTCTTTTTGGCTTTGGCTTTGGTTTGTCTATCTTTTTAACATTTAAATTGTTTCATAATTTATTGACATAAAAATAAATAATCGAGAGAAAGAATGGAAATACAAGAGACAAAACTTAAATAAATATTTGAACACCATGTTAAGCAAAGTCGGTTCTTTTCCATAATTCTTCAGATGTGTGTCCAAACCGAAAATCAAGTTTGTGTCATTTCTCTTATCGTTGTTGTCTCTCTCTGTGTTGTTGGTTTTTTTTTCGTTTATTAATTTCTCAGTACTTATGAGAGAGCTGAAGAGACGGGTAAAAAATGAATTTTCGATCCAAACAGCATGAGGAATTAATTTATGGTTTGCCGTCGGCAAGCATGTTTCGTCTCATTCCATGAATTATAACAATGTTTAATTATTTGTTTAACCAGTTTATGCGCGGATGATTTGTTCTCCACTTTTATCTCTGCTCAATATGATCGATTTAAACTATTTAGCTCTTTTATTTTTATTCTTTGGCCTTTTTTATGCGGCCAATTAGTTATACATAATCGAAAATAAGTTTGAATCTTTCATTTTTATGATTTTTTTTTCTTTTCTCTTGTTTTTTTTCGCCTTCCTCTCACTCTCTATTCAATAATAGATACATCCATTCGAAGGAGAAGCCATTCAAATGTACCGAATGTGGAAAAGGTTTTTGTCAGTCGAGAACGTTAGCCGTGCATAAGATACTTCATCTGGAAGAATCACCGCACAAGTGTCCGGTGTGTAGCCGCAGTTTTAATCAACGATCTAATCTAAAAACGCATCTATTAACACATACCGACATTAAACCCTATCATTGTTCCGCTTGTGGCAAGGTATTTCGAAGGAATTGTGATTTAAGGCGTCACAGTTTGACACACAATTTAGCCGGCACAGGGAGCGAAACAGCATCGATTGCACGGAATGTGACCGCATCGGATCTCGTGAACACTACAAATGTTGAATTAATTGCAGCAGTCGACTAGAACAAAAAAACATTCCTCAACAACTACATAGAATATTTAAGCATTAGGTCAAAACAAATAAATAAGATTTTTTTTAATACTGTAGTTATAAAATAGCTTCGTATTTCGAGAGAAAAAAATGTTTTTATTTTCTCAATCAAACCGATGTTTTAAAATATTTCGCATTTTTATTTATGAACGACAACATTTAATTTGCTAAAACTAAATTCGAATATAATTGATGATGATCTTGTTTTGGATCAATTTTATGATTGCATAATTTTTTTTTCTTCGAAAATCGTATACGAATTTGATCAAAAAGGCAATGACCCGGCAATTATTGTGTCACGTCTCGAAACGCACAATTTTTTTTTCTCGAAAAAAATAAAAAATAAAGTAAAACAAAACAAAAAAAATGTGATTAAATAATTAAATACATTGGATAGTAATTAAGAGTAAGGTCGCAAGGTCTCCTTAAAAAACAACGTTTAACTATAGAACAATAATACTAAGAAACTATAAATAGCATTATAATTGCTGCCACTTAATTATTCTAATGTACAAATTGTGTCATTTCGAAAACGGCAATTGATTCTTTTTGTCGCTTGTACGATTTTCTTTTAGATACACACACATAATTTTATTATTATATATATTTGTTCGGCGTTCGGTGTCAACCAACGCATGATTGAACACATAAAATTCAGCATGAAAAAGACTTCTTCGATTAAAATAATGTGAAGTAAAATAAAAACTATATACATTACATACAATTTATACGATTCTTTTTTTTTCGTACTGCTTTTTTTCGTATTCGATAGATCGATTCGAGTGAAAAAAAAGCCAGCAAATGGAAGATGTGGTGAGTTACATTATCGGCATTTAAGTGGCATACCTGGTTGCAGCTCGAAACGTCGATGAGCCTCATTTTTGCCATGCCAAATGATTAATATATTCTTCTTTAGATATATGATGATAAAGTACGCTAAAGACGTCAAACGTGACGCATTAACAAGCAAAACATACTTGTTAATTTCCACATAATTCAATATTTTGTTTGTTTCGTCGAATCCATTGCATTTTATCTTGATGCTTTCAATATTTCTTTTTAGTGTTTACTTCTCTCTCCCTCTCTCTTCCTCTCCCATGATCTCTCTGAATCTGTGTTTTGACTGCTTGAAATGATTACATTTATTTGATTGCGCTATTGTTGCATTTATTGTTGGATTTGCTATTTTATGTCTGATCGCATTGATTAATCTGTTCATCAATCAAAGAACGGCTGAATTATATTTTCTCAGCAATCTTGACATGACTTATTAATACACTACTGAAATCCCATACGAACAATATATACGAAAATGTATGCGTATAATATTGAAAATTGGTTTTGAATGTATGTTCACGCAGCAACAGAGCAATTTATTGTATGATCTCATGTGCACCAGATCACACTCGATGCTCAACAGCTCTAGCAAAACCACGTAACGTAACTGATATATTTTAAAATCTTGTACACTTGAGAAGGCAAATGCGAACGCCAACGGTTATACGCCAATATCATTGGGACCACATTGCATGACTAAACCATTGTGTATGGTACCTGATCAGAAAATAAAAGAACAACACTTTTGAAAACGATCACACACACACACGCGCTCACAAATTATCAAAATGAAAATAAATAAACAACCGTTTTTTTTGTGTGTGTGTACGATGTATGTTTAATGATGAACATTGTTTCTTAATTTATTTGTTCATTAAAAAATCAAACCAGATTGCATATCACCTTCAATTCTTTTTAATCATTTCAAAAATAAAAAATTTGTTTTCATATTCTTCTTCTTCTTGGCATTCCTTTCGGCAATTTCTTTTCAGAGGCATTTTTCATTTTTCATAAGCATTTTGATGCTCAGTCGCATTTAAATTTCAATAAGAATGATACGTTTACATAGTAAATTATAGTGGGAAATATTTTAAATCGACCATTCCACAACTTGTTTTCACAAGCAACTTACCATATTGCGTATGCGATTAATTTTTTGATTTTTGAATATTCATGATTAATTTTCATTTCATTAAAGATAATCATTTTTTTGATTTGTTTTGAGCTTTTGAATCGACACCGCTCATTTTCGAAATAAATATTAGTGATCGTGCCACTGAAGTAACAGACACAATTATCAATACGATGGGTGGTATATTGCTCCTCAAACTGTGGGGCCGTGAAAATGTGCGCATAAGAAAATGCGATCGTTTTTGATGATTATTCCCACATTCAAAGTGATCCAAGCAAACGGCGTTGACGATGATGTTGATGTCAATGTCGATATTACGACTGACGATCATCATTTTCGTTCAATTTTAAAACGTAACGTTTCGCTGAAAGTAATCATTTGAAGAAAAGAAGTGCTCATATATAATGAGTGTGAAGGATACATTATTTCACAACATAATCGTAAAAACGCTGAAACATAAATGATATCACCGAAGCAATTAGCTAATTACACTTCTGTGTATGAGTGTGAGCAAGAGAGAGAGAGAAATGGCGAACAAAAAACCTCCGGTAAATAATGACACACGTTGAATGTATTCAGTGGCGAGCACCCATCATACATATCGCACTTTGGGAGCAATTAATGAGTATATCACATTCACACATGCATGAGAAATAGCTCACTTCATTCAGCAGAAAATTGTTTCTCTTTTGTCGGAGAATATGTGGTATACATTTGGCCATTTATTGCTTTGGCTTACTATGCAACCTAAATGAAAATGGGACAAATAAAGATAGCTGATGGGAAAAAGAGCATCATTATTTTATTTGTTCATTTTGAAAAGTGTCCGTTTGTGTGTGAGAGAGAGAGAGAGCGAGCGATTGTAAGTATTGCATTGATAGCCTATTATTAAAGTAGCAATGACAGCGGTAATTTTTTTTAACCCCTGAAAAGCTTGGCCAAATGCTTGTTATATGGCTTCTACTGTGTGTATAATGGTGATAGGCTCATCGCAATGTTAATGGGGAATTAGCTAAATATCCCTATTTTTATTTACTTGGTTTCTGTTTCTTGCTATCTCTCTGCCAGTCATTGCTGATGATCTCTTGCCATTTTACATTTTACCATTCAATGAATCGTTAGTACTCAGTACACATCAGTATTGCGCATATAAAAGAAATAATAGTCGAATAACAACAGCAGAAAAAAAAACCTGAAATAATTACGCAATGACACGCCCCGAATATTTAAACCAAATTTTAAAGCGGCTTACGCTCAAAAGCAATCAATTTGCGTTTTTGTTGCTAACAAATTAAAATGTTTTTTTTTTTATATTGTGTTTGTGTGTTTTTCATATGGACATTGTTGAAATGGATAAAAGGCGGAAAATGTTCGTTTTTTTTATTCACTCTTTAAACATCTGCCACTCGACTAGAACAACTTCTGTGAGCGTGATGAGCCGTAGTATTTATCCGTTTTTAGGAGCCTAGATGAGCTATTAATCTCGATGTAATAGGAATTCAAAAATGTATTTTAACCGACAAAAAAAATACTACATGAATACCACACGCTTCGTCATTTTTATTTATTGGCGCTAAGAATCATTTTCAAATAGTTTTTTTTTTTGGTACGAAAACAGCACGATCACATAACCCAAATAGTTGTGCCCATGTCAAAAGAATTCGCCAATTGAGACGGTTGCGATTTCGGTTGGTTTTTTCTCTCATTTGCAACAACGGCGAATACCAATTTTCACTTGAATAATCACACCGAAGTCAATAAAATAAAGAACGGCTTTTATTATTTGTTGATTTTTTTTTCTCCGCTGTCTTTGTGATTGAGAGTTTCTGTTTTCGTTTCATCCTTTCGCATCGAATCCAGCCAACGATTGATTATTGATGAATGATTTGGATTATTCGAATTTATGACGCTCGAAATATTTGGTTTTTGTTCGCCTCTTCTCCATGAATGACCAAAGAATCTCCTCTAAAAGGAAGTGACAAAAGCATATTCGTTATCCAAATATTTGCATTCGGTATTTTCTTTGTGCGAAAAGATATATGGACGATTTCTGCAGACAGAATTCACAAATGAACAAAAGCCACCGAGTGTGTGTAAGAGAGAGAGAGAGAGAGAGAGAGAGAGAGAGAGAGAGAGAGAGATAGAGCAAAAGCACATTGATTTATCACGCGTATAGCAAAGCGATTAATTCATTTGTTGTATGACTCACGCCAAAATGCTGCGTAATTGTTCTATTTGCAATCGGTAACGGATTTCTTTCGATTTCGCTCATCTTCTTCGGTACGAAATGAGGAATTGGTACGCAAAGAGTTTTCAAATAATGAAAACAGCATGTTCAATTTACTCAAAAACACCATTCATCTGAAATGAAATTGTTTCCTTAAATGAAATTTTACTTTAATTCAAAGTTTTTATCTATTCAAGACGAGATTGAATTGAAGAATAGCTCCCATTCATTCGACCTTTTAAAATAAAAGACGACATTTGTTGGTATAAATAAAGTGAAATTAAACTGGCCATTTTGCACCTCAAACAAAAAGCATTAACTTCAATTTGAAGAAAGAAATTGAAGAATAACATACAAAAGAACTTCCAAATTTCTATATTAAAAATAAATAAACTGAATGCCAAAGGTAAACCAAAATAAAAAAAACGAATGTTATTTTGTTATTATTGCATTGTTTTCTTGGTCTGTTCTCTCATCTATCTATTTCAAATTGTTTGTGGCGTTTTAAAATGTAAGAAGTTCTAAGCCAAAGCATGTTCATGTGCCAAAATAGAGATAAAAACGGCAAACATTGTGATTGTTTGGATTGATTTAAAAAGAAAAATAGAAACAAAAAGAATTCAATGCGCAAAGAGCAAATATTCGAGTGAGTCAAGAGTGATTTCCTTTCGGTTTTCGGTAATTTCGACACGTGTGGCTTAAAGGTGAATACAAATGGTGTAAATACCAAATAATAATCGACCCACACGTCATTCCTGTGTAATGAGAAATGAAAACAAATAAATGTGCAACAATCAACACACAATAATGAATGTGTCTATTTTTCTGGTGACATCTGGAACTGATTTTCGAAAGATTTTCGATGTTTTCTTTGGCACGATGGCCTTAGGCCTCTACAGTAAACAAATAGAAATTTAAAAATTAAGTTGATCGTTTTGAAGAGAATCACAACCCCTATGGTGTTATATTCTAACCATTTATACCACCAACATGCCATTTCCTGAATGAACGCGAACCACTTTGAATCTTTTCATTGTCTATTGTGCAGCACACAAAAGACGAAAAACATCTCCATCACGTTTCAGCCTCATGTTTTCACAATTAAAAAACAATATTTGCCATGGCAAAAAATAGCCACACACAAAAATTCATTGTAAAATGTTATGTGTCTATTGGGAGGTCGTACTCGCTTTTTGTTTCATTTCCATTTTTTCTTGTAAATGCGGAAGAAAATTGCCGCAAATTTCCTCAAAAAAAAATGTAAAGCAAATGCTTGCTTTTCTTTTACAATGATCGCCAATGATGTATATGCATTGTAGTCATACGAACGCATAAATTTTGATTTGATGTATTCATTTACATAAATTACATTAATTATATACATTACCGATATTTGCTTGCCACATGAAAATATTATTAAAGCATTTATATAATCAGTTAAAACGGAGCATTGTTTTCAACT